TTGGGACGATGGATGGAAAGGCAGCTTGTAATTCGGTGGTTGATAGTCGAGAGAGTGGGATGGGATGAGATGGCAGCGGCCAAGGTGTAGATCTGTGGATAGATTGGACGAGCTCGGCGGTAATGATTTTGTACCTCAATAATGGGGCGGCGGGGGGGGGGGTATTCACGTTTTGCATGCCTTTGTTATGACCACGCGTCTTCCTCGAGAGGACAAAGCGGGATGGGGGGGGGGTTACGCAATGTTGTGTTTGCGCGTGCTCGGTGGCTTGGTTGGGGGTTGAGCCGGGCTACCGACCGTAAAGCGGTTTGGGATCAGCGCAAACGCCCGCATGAATCCAATGGTGATTTTCCAGCCCCTCAACACGCCGCGCACTCGAGAAGGGCCGCCATTGTTGTCCTCCTCCTCCAGTTTTTTTTTTTTTTTTTTGGCAAGCCTGTTGTTGCTCATGACGGGGAAATGAGCGACAGTGCGAGAGGGGAAATGCTTGGGCGAGTTGCTGTGTTGGGTAGACCGAGGGAAATAACTTGCTCACGCTCGCTCGTCAACTCACCCTTGCTATCTTTCTGGGTCATCGTCGTTCCAAACTATTGGAACGAAGCAGCAGGCAGCCGCGCAGGCTAAGCAGGATGAGGGGGAGGAGGCGGCGGAGGAGGAAGACGCACCCATGACGTCGCCAGCAGTGAAGGGCAAGGTGGGTTTGTATTTTTTTTTTTTTGTGTGTTCACGTCGAAATTTCAGACTTTATTTGATTTTACTGTTTTGTTGGTGACTGGCCGCGAACACCAGAGGTTGCTCCGCGATGACGGAGTTCGAGATTCGTTTGTTCGTTATTCTGGCGCAACTGCTGTAGCGTGAAGAGCACCTGGCTTTCCGAACTCCGTTATTGGTGGTGGTTATTATTGTCGTTGTCGTTGTTGGTATTATCTCACCTGTTTCGATAATTGTTACTTGTTAGGCGTTGTTGTTTGATGTCGTTGTCGTTGTCGGCGTCGGAGTCTCTGGTATAACAGCGCAATGACCGAGGCGGTGGTGTCCTCTGATGCCCGTTTACGGGGCAACTACACGCTAGTTTTTCGTTTGCAGGGAAAACCCCGTCGTGTGTGTCTGCCCGCCTCGCTTCTACCCTACCGCGGTCGAACAACGCGTCACCACCCTCCCGTCCCTCCCGTCCCTCCCCTCCCTTCCCCTTCCCGCAACTCAGGGGAAGGCGCCCGCACATGAAGGTAGCGGCGGTGGCAGACCGGGGGGGCGCGCAGGAATCCCTCCTGTGGTGGTCAACCTCAACTCGTCATCGAGCGAGCTGAAGCTCCTGCGGGTGTTGCAGACCCTGGTTAACCTTTCGGGGAAGGATACCGGTGAGGGGTGGTGTGTGATGCCGTGGGGAGTCAGATGGTGGAGATTTGATTGTGGCTTGTGACGTTTTTTGGCCGTTTGCGGGGATGAGGTTTTGGCCTGTTTGCTGGGATGTTGGGGGCTGGTAGTACGGCGTGGGGATTGATTGGCCCTTGCCTGTTAGATGGGCCGTGTGCGGGGTTGAGTTTTTTTCCCTGTTTGCTGAGATGTCGGGGGCGGGTACGATGGCACGGGATTGACCTTTGCTTGTTAGCTGGGATGTATCGTGGGGGGGTGGGTACACATGGTTGACACCGATGCGCCAGCCAGTGGAACCGAAGAGATATAACAAGATGGACAATATAATTTGTCTGTCAGCAGCAAATGATCCGTGTGTGTGTACCCTCACGGCCTCCCAGATCATGGTAGCCTCTAGAAGCATTTTTGTTTCAGCCGCTTAGCGCGGTCGGTGCTAATATCAGCGACGCCCGCACCCTCACTCAACCTCACGCACACGACCTTCCCTTTTGTCTCCATGTACGTCTGCCCCCCCCCCCCCCCCAAACTTTGTCTCACCGCGTTTGGTGGTTTACTCGG